GAGTTGCCATAGGGAAGAGGGGATGGGAAATGGCAGCAAAATGCAGATACATATTCCAGACTATCTCTTTCAGGGCTGTATCCTCTACAACCCGTGAAATTGCCCCATTGGTGAATGTGATTGATGATACACCCTGGGGGGAGGGGGGGAAACAGGGTCATGATTGGGGACGTAAATTACATGGGGTCAGAGCCGGCTTCAGTTGAAAATGTGCCAACATGAAGCTTTTAATAAATAACTGGATTTCTTTTGAAGTTTGGCTAGAAGTTTGGCATCCGTTGGGACCCTGACAGACAGATTCATATAACAATCATATTACTAGCTTAACAGCTGCAGCGATTCGCTTAACAAAGGTGGCAAGAAAGACCATAAAATGAAGCAAAACTCACTTAACAAGTGTTTTGCTTAGACATCTTGGGCTCAATTGTGGTCGTAAGTTGAGAACTACCTGTACAGAGACCTTAGCAGTGTACGCTTCCAATAAGAAAGCCCAACTTTTGGTTTCTTATCTTGTCGTGAGTGTCAGGTAAGCCATATCTTTTCTCCCCTGAGGACTCTGCAAATAGATAGAAAATGTAACGATTGTGTGGGTTTTATTTTCCTGATCTTGAGATAAACGTCCTAAAGAGTTTTGGAGATTCAGCAGACAGTGGTGGTCTTACGGTGGGTCGCTATCTCAATGAATTGTAGAAATAGGTAGGAATTATTGAGCCTAAACTGACTCTTGCAAATATAATCCAGATAATCCTGAGCTTATGTTGGCATCTATTCATGCTTTTTTTTTTTTAAGTTCCCATCTTTCATTTCTGTTCTTGCCGTTTGCGACAGGGAAAAAAGCTCCAATCTTGATCACCAAGCCAATGGTGGAATCCATGAGAGATGGTTCCGTAATAGTAGATCTTGCCGCAGAGGCTGGCGGCAATGTGGAGACCATCCACCCTGGAGAACTTCATATACATAAGGTTTGCACAGGAGAGTCTGTTTCAAATATTTTGTCCCATTGACAGAGATATTATTTTGCTCTTCTCCAAGACAGCAGAACGTAACACATAGACCTTCTTAGCTACACTAAGCATCTTAAGGTCTGGGTTTTGAAAAAGATCAGACATGGGCTGAACCCACAGTGTTGTGGCCCGCCAGCAGCCAGCAGAACTGGTGGCAGACTCAGACAGTGAGGAGGCTGCGGGGGAACATGGGCCAGTCTTGGAGTCTGGGGAAGGCTCTGAGGAGTGCTCTGCGTCAGAGGCAGAGCTGGGGCCAGGGCCATCCAACAGTTATCAGTTGCCTTTGGAGTTGGAGATCAGTGGGGAAGAAGAATAGCTGGAACCTGTTCCTAATGTGCGCATGCGCAGAGCTGCCAGGAGAAGGGAACAGTTAAGGAACAAGGGCTGACTCGGGAGTAAAGGCATAGGGGACCAGTGAATGGCCCTTCCCATAGGGTGTAAAGAGGAGCACAAGGGGAGTGGAGTTTGCAGGAGACAATTTGTTCGTTTAATTAGTGTGAAGATTTGCTTGTGACTCTCAGAAACTCCTTGCCAAGTATTTTCTTGTACAGCATTGTGTTTGGAAGATATTGGCCTGGATAGGAAAAATTTGGAATTTGGGAAAAAAATCCCCCTGAAAGACTGTTTGCTGGGACTTAATAAAATTATTTAGCTTAATAAAAAGCGGTTTTGTCAGGACAAGGAGTCTGCTAATGAAATTATGCAGCTCCGAGGCAACAAAAACTATCTTGTCATAGCTTTATGATTTAAGATATTCCTAAAATCAGACATTTTGGCTTACTCAACAAACTATAGTTAAAAGAACTATGGCTGTCCTGGAAATCTATGGCCTTTACAGACGTTTTGTATATACAAACATTAGTGCAACTAAATCATGAAACTCTTCTGCACTACAGTGACCTAGTTACGGTTTAGTGCAGTGCCTGAATCTGATATGTATTTGAAGCTTTTCTCCTAAACCTCAAAATAAGTTGCTTTAACAGTGACACATACAGTTAACTGAATTTACAGTGCCTTTAAGGGGCATCATTTGCGATTGTAAAGTTCCCTCAGAACTTAGGGTTATAACTGAAGGCAGGAGAAGCAACAGATGGAAACCAATCAAGGAGAGAAGCAACCTAAAACTAAGGAGAAATTTCCTGACAATTAGAACACTTAATCAGTGGATTAATTGTTCTAATTGTCTGCCTCCAGAAGTTGTGGGATCTCCAACACTGGAGATTTTAAAGAAAAATTGGGCAACCATTTGTCTGAAGTGGTGTACAGTTTCCTACTGAGTAGCGGGTTGTACTACAAGACCTCCAAGGTCCCTTCTGTTATTCTGTAAAGCTCAAGGTTTAATTTGTTCAAACAATTGCAAAGTAATATTATTCCTTCCTTCCTTCTCTCCCACCCCCAAGCAAAAACTTTGTTGAACAAAATAGCGCAACACCAGGTTATCTAACCCCCTCCCTTTACTTTTCAGAGTTTAATTGGAGTGCAGTGAATCTGGGAAGCACAATGTGTAACCATGAGAGCATCAGATGTCCAAAGAGGTGTTTTCAGGCTTTTAAAGTGTGTTTTGATTTCTTAACTCTTGAAATAAGCTCCATATGGTCATGGAACTGCTTCCCCCAGAGGCCTCCCGGCTTGCTCTGCCTTTGGCTCGAAGTCAAAAAGAAAAGCTCCCCCCCCCCCCACTTCAAGAGTAAGAGCAAGCTGTTCATGCAAAAAGTAAAAAGTAATTTTGCCTTAACTGGCAAAATAAAGTGTCAGCAGAGATCTGATTTACCATCAGTTATGAAGGATTTATCAAGTCAAAACACCTAAAAGTCTTAACAAGGCAATACACGAAAAAGATGTTTTTAAGGGTCTTCTTTATTGCTTTTTCCAACCCTCAGGGCGTGGTGCACATTGGTTATACAGACTTGCCAAGCCGAATGGCTACCCAGGCCAGTAGCCTTTACTCAAACAACATCTTGAAGTTATTAAAAGCTATTTCCCCCAGCAAGGAATACTTTTACTTTGAGCCAAAAGATGATTTTGATTATGGGACGATTGATCATGTCATAAGAGGGACTATGGTCATGAAGGTGAGTTATTGTTATTTTTTCCCCCTCTCCTAAAATTCCTTAATGAATGGTTTAACAGAGACATGCAAAACATCGTAATAGAAGACAGAATCGGGATCTTTTAAGAGAAATTGCAGTTGATTCTTGACTTCCGTCTGGAAATTAGCTTTGCAACTGACATCGAAACGTAGAGTTTTGGTTTCTTCCACTGGAACATCAGGCTTTCTTCCAATCTTCTGTGCACCCAGACTACATTTTAGCCCGGTCACAAACCTTTGCAAATTAATAGTTTACCCATTATCTGCACACTGGTTTTCCCTCCTATTCAAAAACAATGAAGTGACAAGAACGATCAGTTGAAATCAAGCAACATATAGAAGATTAATCGTAAAGACATACAAAGATTAATTGTAAAGATCAGCTGATGGTAGTAGAGATCAGAACCAAGTTCTTTGAGTCAGCAAAGGAATACATTTGGGATACATTTTTAGATTTTGACCCATCGAGACTCAATCTGTCCACATTGCTCTTCTAACAGCCTCGCAATAAGATTTGTGACTTTACATGGGTTAATTTGAAGGACTCATCCTAATGTCTCTGCTACAGGAAGGAAGAACGATCTTTCCAGCACCTTTACCTAAAACTTTACCACCTGCTGCCCCAGTTAAGCAGAAGTCTGTTCAAGAACTAGAAGCAGAAAAACAAGCAGCCCTTTCACCCTTTAGAAAAACAATGACCTCAGCTGGAGTATATACAACAGGTATTTCTAAATGTAAAATTCATATATTCTCTCTCTCTTTCTTTCTCTCTCTCCCTCCCTCCCTCCCTCCCTCTTCTCTCTAAAGTATGAATTCCTCTTTCAAAGTTCATTGTGATATGCATTAAGAGATTTGCTAATACAAGTAGTCCTCAACCTACAACAGTTCATTTAATGATCTTTCAAAGTTCGACGACACTGAAAAATTTGACTTATGACTGTTTTTCTCAATTAAGAACTTTGCATGATCATGTGATCAGAATTCAGATGCTTGGCAACTGGTTCATATTTATGACTGTTGCTGTGTGCCAAGCCGAGGTGGCGCAGTGGTTAAATGTAGCACTGCAGACTACTTCAGCTGACTGCAGTTCTGCAGTTCGGCTGTTCAAATCTCACCGGCTCAAGGTTGACTCAGCCTTCCATCCTTCCGAGGTGGGTAAAATGAGGACCCGAATTGTTGAGGGCAATGACTCTGTAAACCGCTTAGAGAGGGCTGAAAGCCCTATGAAGCAGTATATAAGTCTAACTGCTATTGCTATTGCTATGTGATCCCTTTTTGCGACCTTCTGACAAGCAAAGTCAATAGGGAAGCCATATTCACTTAACAACCAAGTTACTAACTTATCAACTGCAGTGCTTCACTTAACAAGTATGGCAAGAAAGGTTCTATAATGGGGCAAGACTCGCTTAACAAATGTCTCACTTAACAACAGAAAGTTTAGTTGAGAAAGTCCATTGTGGTCGTAAATTGAGGACTACCTGTACAATCTGTGGGAGATGACCAGGCTGAGCCTGAGGGAGGAATCAAACATGTCATCACTCTTGTGTCTCTTTGCACCCACAAGAGATCTAAGTTTAGCCCACCTTGAGTTCCATTGACCTTATCTACAACCAAATTGCTTTGACCATTAGTAGTTCACATTTTTGTAGAAAAGCATCAGCATACAATAAACTCATATTTATTTGAGCTGCCTGGACTCCTGATTTCCTGCACTTGACAGAGTCATAGTTAAAGAATGAGAAATCATCTCAACGGTCCATTAAAAAATATCTGCTACATTGCTGCTACTATACTTTAGCCAAGGAGCCCATCCCAGATAGAACTGATAGTTGACTGTGATTAAAACATGAGGGGGCGTGGTATGCTGTTTTCCATTCCCAGCCGTGTTGGCTCAGTTTACTAATCTTAAAACAGTAAGAAAGGATATTAGGTGGGACAAGTGAATAGGCAAAATCAAATGACAAACTGTCAGTTATCATTATCAAACTGTCAGTTAGCAATGAAAGTTAGATTGGAGGCTAAAACATATAAAGAACGGTTGCCGCAACTGAGTATGTCTAGTCTGATTAAAAGAAGGACTAGGGGTGATATGATAGCAGTGTTCCAATATCTCAGGGGCTGCCCCAAAGAAGAGGGAGTCAAGCTATTCTCCAAAGCACCCGAGGGCAGGACAAGAAGCAATGGGAGGAAACTAATCAAGGAGAGAAGCAACTTAGAACTGAGGAGAAATTTCCTGACAGTGAGAACAATTAATTAGCGGAACAACTTGCCTCCAGAAGTTGTAAATGCTACAACACTGAAGATGTTGGATAATCATTTGTCTGAAGTGGTGTAGGATTTCCTGCCTAAGCAGAGGGTTGGACTAGAAGACCTCCAAGGTCCCTTCCAACTCTGTCATTCTATTCTATTATTATCTCCTTGTAGGAATTGATTCTTCCTAAATGTGAATGAAAGTTTTTATCATCTCGTTTTCCTTGGTGCTTCATACCAGATCTTAGGAAAACTGACAGAAGAATCTTTTTATATGCAATTAACTTATAGATATCCCTCTAAAATACAGCGATGACTTTTAGTTCTATCGTCCATTTTGGTTGGCCAGGTTCCTAGGATTAAGTTTAAAATAAGGTTATGTAAATACAGAGAATTCAATTGCATGCAACTCTATAAATATTTTACGAACGTTTGCTTGAAACTCCTTTGAAGTAAGATTGTGTGGGACTACAGTTTTAATAGCATTTCAGGCTGACAACTAAGAATGGAAATTCTGCATTTAGAGAAAATGCAACTGATTCTTGGTTGGGTTGGAGAGAGAACCCTTGAACAATAACTCCTTCTATCATGTCTCACCTTAGGGTCATGCTACATGGAAATCAGCCTTGCAGTTTCTAAAAAGTGTTCTCAACCAAGGCACCTATTTTTCTACTTTTTGACACCAAAGTCAGGGATGGGCTTCAAAAATTTTAGCAACGGGTTCTCTGCCCAGTTGCTGGGTGGGTATGACCATGGTAAGAGTGGCCTAGTTGCCCTCTTACATCACAGCCAGGAGGGGCATTTTTGCCTTCCCCAGGCTCCAGAGGCTTTCCTAGAGCCTCTGGGAGGGCGAAAACTGCTTCCCCTGGGCTTTAAAGGTCTTCCAGAAGGCACTTTTCCCCCCCTTCCTGAACTTCCGTGTGGGTCCTGCACTGACCTCACATCCAGCTAGCCAGGGGTAGGTTCTCCAAAATGTCCATAACTTTAGCTATGGGTTCTCCTGAACCCAGGCAAACCAGTAGCAGCCCACCCCGACCAAAATTTAGGTTTTATTTCAATTTTCTCATAAGGATAGTCTTCAACAGATGTGATTATTGGATGGAAGTGATACAGGAGGCTAGTTCCAATTCTGCTGATTTCTGTGACAGATCTTTCCAGTCTCCATAGCTAACCAACGCCTCTTAATCAGATAAATAACCTTTGGAGGCTATTATAATATCTTTGGGATGAATGAAAGTGGGAAAAAGAGAAATCGCTACTCATTTGAAGAGAGTGTAACGAAAGACAGGACATTCACTCGCCCCCATGGGCCCCTAGTTAAGAAGCGCAAGAACACCATAGTGCATCTTGAAATTTCATTGAAATTCTCTCTCTTGGGGAATATCTATATCTATACTATATCTATATCTATATCTATATCTATATCTATATCTATATCTATATCTATATCTATATCTATATCTATCATCTATCTATCATCTATCTGTCTGTCTGTCTGTCTGTCTGTCTGTCTATCTATATGTTGTATTTGTGCTGATAAATAAAGTGATATATATATCCCTTTATACACACACACACACACACACACACACACACACACACACACACACACACACATCAGCTTCAGGGAATGAGGGAGTGGACAGCCAAATGCTTCAGTGGAAGCTGTAAAAGGTATTATTCCAACCATATGTTTGAGCACAGTTCTGGTACATTCTTTTCTGAGAACGGGAAAGAAAATCCTGTTTTAAGAGCGGAGTGGTCATGCTTTCAGAATGTTGAAAATTCCTGCCGATTAAGCTATGGAAAAGCAAAAACTTAACGATACTTGGCAAAAGGCTTGTATATTATCTATCTATACAATTTAAGTTGATTTACTAGGCTATAATTAGATAGATAACTATAATTATCTGTATCTGTCTGTCTGTCTCTTTATTTATCTATCTATCTTCTCTTATCTCTCTCTTATCTTTCTCTCTCTTTCTCTCTTTCTCTCTCTCTCTATCTTCATAAGTTGGTTTTGCAGAACAAAGATATGGTCATTTAATTATCCATATTTTATCCTGTACATATTTATTTGTTTTTATTTATTTATTTAGTTATTAAATGTTTATGCTGCCCATCTCTTCTACAAGGTCACCCTCCATCTCGCCTGCGCTTTGGCATACAATTAAAATGTTAAGTGTTTTTCTTGGTATTGAATTGATTTACATGTAGAATTTCCTTAGCATTCATGGATTATGAGTCCAAGCGGTCAGTTGTATATGTGAATAGTCCAGGATAAAGGAGTAGGGAAAGGAAAGACAACACTGGCTTTAATTTAAATGAATGGGACACCACTAATTTGCACAATTCCCATGTGGTTATTGTGTGTGTCGATCAATTCAGTTATTCTCTTTGGAGAAGCACAAATATTCACACCTCCAAATTTGCAAATCTTTTACAATTAAAAGGGAAAAAAATCTGTTTGGTTCACAAGATTAAGGTCGTATCATGTCAAAAAATAATACAAGACAGTCAACCCCAGGCTGATTCTGGAATTCTGGGAGTTGAAGTCCACAGGTCATAAAGTCATAGTTGCCCACACCTTCTCCAGATGTTGGACTACAGGTCTATAGCAGCTGGAAAACCCAAGCATTATAGTGAAATGCATCTGGAAGTTGCCTCTTTGGAGAAGGCTGCTCTATAGAGGACCCGGAGAAGGTAACTACAGCTTGTTCTCATTGGATGTTGTTGAAATTCCTGTGTGGTCTCTGCCTCCTTTAACATTTTTCAGATGCTACAATAGAAGCCTTCTCCTCTAAAGCGAGTAACAAAATCAATGGGAACATTGGAGCGGTTTTTCATTTTGTAATTCTTGGGACATTGTCCCTTGAAGGATTGTTCAAACAACATTTTTGACATGTCTAAAATGTTATTTCTTGGCATTTCCACATCCGGAGGCCAAAGCATTCTGGCACAGACAACTTGGCAAAGTGAATTTTAACCAGACAAGTCAGCATTTGAGGGGAGGGGGGGAAGGAATGCGAATTGCATCCATAAAGTCTTCATATCCTTGCTTCCAATGTCTTGTTTCATTGAGAAGGTTAACACCCCAGAACCCAAAACAGAGTTGGACCTTTAACCAGGGGCATCTTTTTTTGGGTGGGGGGAGGAATGCTTTCGTAAGTATCCTAAATGCTTGTTGTTTTCTTTAGGTCTGACATCAGTTTTAGGGCTGGGCCTCATCTCCCCGAATTCTGCCTTTACCCAAATGGTGACAACTTTTGGTCTCGCTGGAATTGTGGGCTACCACACCGTTTGGGGTGTTACACCTGCTCTTCATTCACCTCTGATGTCAGTGACCAATGCAATTTCTGGTATGTCCAACCTTTGCTTTACTGGTTTTTTTGTTTTAATACTTGATGCAACAATGATCCTAGAGGACTTTTGAGAATAAAATGAAAACAGAGTTCCTTTTCCCTTCAAGATCTCTCTGTCAGACCTGGAAGCCCTCTTTTACATTGGGCCTACAGGCCTGCCACAATTTCTACTGTGGGAAAATGGGAGCGGGGATTATATGGAGTACAGGTGATATATAGTCTAAATAACATTCCTTTCTCAGAGAGTCACGGACATCTTGCCCTGCAGCTGTGATGGTGTGACTGGGAGGCATCTCCAGTTTTGGATGGTGCCTGATTGGACCATGGAATGGACATGTGGGTGCTGGGCAGGGACGTGAACTTTCTTTTGGGTGGGGAAAACCTGGAAGCTTTCAGATTTGGGTTTTCCCAGATGTGCCAATATGACATCTCTTAGCAAATGGAACTTTGAGGAAACTCAAGCTTCTGAGTCTTCTTTCTTTGGGGGTGTTACTTGGAACCCTGACGTTAGCCCGAATCAGCCAAGGTGGCGCAGTGGTTAAATGCAGCACTGCAGGCTACTGCTAGATCAGCAGGTCAGCGGTTCAAATCTCACCGGCTCAGGGTTGACTCAGCCTTCCATCCTTCCGAGGTGGGTAAAATGAGGACCCAGATTGTTGGGGGCAATATGCTGACTCTCTGTAAACCGCTTAGAGAGGCCTGAAAGGCCTATGAAGCGGTATATAAGTCTACTGCTATTGCTATTGCTATCACACTATCAGCCAAGAAAGGCCACTTATCCCTATCTTTCTTCTTGAACTTGGCAATTTTCTAGCTGCAGTGACTTCTCTGCAGTTGAACGTCTCTTATCTGTAGGTTGCTTGAAGTAGCCCTTATGTTCCAACATCAATATGTTTCTTTACATTACCACATCTTTGAAGGACATTTAAGGGAATTTTAGGATTGAGTTTGCTTCATTCTTGTTCATGTTGTTGATAAAGATTCTGATGATTGTTTTTCTATCCATGTTGTCTCATGCAATCCCACCATGATTTTAGTGATTGGGGAAAAAAACCAGCTACAATTTACCATAACCAGTATAAATTGGGCCAGGACACCATTTTCATAAAACCTAGAGTTCCTAGACTTAGTTAATGATTACATTTTGCAATAATTGGTAAGGGGTTGCTTGATTTTGCCTTAGTTGTTATATTTTTCAAAGGCGGCTTAATTTCTCAGATATTGCCTAAACAATTATGGTTTATTCAATAAACCCTGATTAACCAGAGACGTGGCTTAGCATAAAGGTGTGAAACCAGATTTTGAATTAAACTTAGCAGATGCTGCAGAAATAAACTTGAAATAACTGTAATGTGGAATATTAAAATAGATCCAAAGATCAGAGGGCAGGAAAAGAAGTAACAGGTAGAAATATATCAACCTAGAACTAAGGAGAAATTTCTTGACTGTGAGAACGATTAATCAGTGGAATGGCTTGCCTTTTAGAAGTTGTGACTGCTCCATCACTGGAGGTTTTTAAAAAGATGCTATTTCTACAGAATGGTATAAGGTCTCCTGCTTGAGTGGGGGGTTGGACTAGAAGACCTCCAAGTTCCTTTCCAATTCTGTTATACCTGTATTTGAGATGTGCTTAGGTTTTAAAAAAATCTATTGGTCAATGTCAAATGTTAGAGATAACTAAGAAGTACGTGGCTTTAGCAGTTTGGGTAGCTTAGGTAGCAACGTTCTTTTCGGTGCAATCCAACATTTTCCAAGGCTTCCTCTAGTCGACTAGCTTGGAAGATGAGTTGAGAGCTGTTGACAGTATGAGTAATCAAGCATGTTCAACCACAACAGGAAACATCTGCTATATGATAGAAGGTTTTTGAGCAGGGATTGCCAGCTCTCCATCCTTTCACACTGTCACAACAGGTTCTTTCATTTTCTCTCTCTTAGGACTCACTGCTGTGGGCGGCTTGGTGTTGATGGGAGGATCTTACTTGCCTTCCAGTATGCCTCAGACATTAGCTTTACTGGCTGCCTTTGTTTCCTCAGTCAATATTGCAGGTAATAATTCACAAAGTGCATGTTCACCATGATGGCATAGCAGTTGGAATACAATATTGTAGGCTAACTCTGCCCACAGCCAGGAGTTCGATCCTGACTGGCTCAAGGTTGACTCAGCCGTCCATCCGTCCAAAGTCAGGAAAATGAGGATCCAGATTGTTAGGGGCAATATGCTAACTTTATAAACTGCTTAGAGGGGATTGTAGAGCACTATGAAGCAGTATATAAATCTGTTGCTATTCTATTTCGAATAAATATTTATATTTTGCCCTGGCTATGGCTACCCAGTTTCAAAGCCAAGGAAGCTATCTCCCTTAGTGTCCATGGACATCCTGTTAAGAACCCCACAGGATTGATTTCTAGTCCATATTTGCAACTTTGGTTTTTCCAGCACAAGGCTAGAAAGTGGGAGACTGGGAATTCTAATCCTGCCTTACCCATAAAACCTGATTGGGTGACGTTGGGCCAATCACCAGCAGATGTTGAGTTCTAGTCCCGCCTTAGCCATGAAAGCCAGCTGGGTGACCTTGGGCCAATCACTCTCTCTCTCAGTCCAATTCACCTCACAGGGTTGTTGTTGTGAGGAAAATAGGAGGAGGAAGTTGTGTTGAATATGTTCGTCACATGGAGTTTGTTTGTAAAAATAATAAAGGCAGAATATAAATAAAAATAATTAATTAATTTCCTGGTATAAATTAATTGTTTGTTTCATCTTTCTGCTTCATCTTAACCATTTGCATTTCTCCTCCTCCAAATAGGTGGCTTTCTAATTACCCAGAGGATGCTGGATATGTTTAAGCGTCCAACAGATCCACCTGAATACAACTACCTCTATCTTCTCCCCGGAACGGTCTTTGTTGGTGGATATGGTGCATCTCTTCTTGGTGGATACAGTATTGAGCAGGTCAGAAATCCAGGCCCGTGTTTAGGGCCTGTTTGTTCAATAGATTGATTGTTGTGGTCTGCCAGCAGAGCTGGCAGCAGAGTCGGATAGTGAGGAGGTTGGGGAGGAATATGGGCCAGTCCTTGAGTCTGGGGAAGGCTCAGATGAGGGCTCTGTGTTGGAGGCAGAGAGGGGCCAGAGCCATATGCCAGTTGTCAGCTGCCTTCAGAGTCAGACATCAGTGAGGCAGAGGAACAGCTGGAGCCTGTTCCCAATGTGTGCATGCACAGAGCTGCCAGGAGAAGGGAACAGCTAAGGAACAAGGGCCGACTCAGGAGTAAAGGCACAGGCGGATGGTGAATGGCACTTCCCATAGGGAGTAAAGAGGAGCAAAAGGGAAGGGGAGTTTGCAGGAGACAATTAGTTCAATCCATTAGGGTGAAGATCTATTCCTGACGTCTTGCCAAGTAATTGCTGCTACAGCTTGGCGTTTGGAAGATATCAGTCTGGCAGCTCTCCAAACCTGATTAAGGTCTGTAGTTGTGAAATCTCTTGAAAGATTGTTTGCCGGGACTTTGCTGGAGGGGAATTCCCTTTAACACAAATAAAAGAGTTTTTTTGGGACGAGGAGTCTGCTTAATGATCTGAAACCTAGGTCAGAACATTCATACTGAAGAAGAGCTTCTCTGGAGAAAAATTTTCTCAAGATTCGTTAGTACCAGTGATGCATATTTTTCAAGCAATGTAATGAAAAAAACCCCACTTCATTAGGTTCACCTGGTCCCTGAATTGTGTAAACAAATGTTTATAACAAACATTTATGGGTTTGTCTCTGTGCTCAGCTTCTGCTTTCAGCACACAACAAGAAAGCAAAGCAGTCTTCCCTGCCTTGCCTCGCCCCCCTTTAATTCCTTGCGAGATGCAAAAAGGAAACTAACAACTTGAGCTACTTGTGTGACAACATAATATGATGGGGAGGCTAACAAATAATGGAATAATAACAGAGCTGGAACAGACCTTGGAAGTCTTCTAGTCCAACCCACTGCTCAAGTAGGAGACCCTTTCCAGACAAAGGGTTGTCCAGTCTCTTCTTAAAAACCTCCACCGTTGGAGCACCCAGAACCTCTGAAGGCAAGCCTTTCCACCGATTAATTGTTTTACCTGTCAGGAAATTTCTCCTTAGTTCTAGTTGGTTCTCAAAACCAATAGAATTCTGCTGACTGGGAAGTCACTGGGAGACAAATGGGTACACTTTCATTCCCCTGTGTGAGAATTGACCATATATATGAATAAGTAGACTTGTTTTATTATTGACAAAAGAAAGCTCAGGAATGTATTGGTCGGAAACAGGTGAAAGAGGCCTTCATCTTGCAGTGGCTAAAATCAGGAGGAGGAGGAGGAGGAGGAGGAGGAGTAGGAGGAATAGGAGGATACCTGTTTTATCTTTACACATTCACCCAATACTTTGTAGTTCTATATCTTAAGGAAGATGAAGAACATTCAAGAACATGATGTTGAAGTTGTTGAAGAACATCTATAATCAACAGGAGGGGGTGATTGCCTGCAGTTCTTTTCATATCTGTCAGCACCTATAGGAAGACAAGATGGGGATGATCATCATCACCATCTATTCAGTTGTGTCTAACTCTTGGTGATGCTATGGACCAAGTCTCTCCACATATCTTGCACGACTACTTTGAGATCTTCTGTGCTCCAGCTATTTTCAGCTTTGATGGTATTGGAAGACCAGAAGAGGAAATCAACTCCACAGGAAGCTTAAAACTACTTTTATTCAGATGAGCTACAATAACAGAATCTTGTAGGTTTCATTGTGTTGTACCTCCTATCCCCTCTTATGCTCCAATGAATCAAGAAAGTATCACCTCGGGCTACTTTCAAATGTTAGAATAGAATAGAATAGAATAGAATAGAATAGAATAGAATAG